TGCATCAGCACGTGAATAAAATTGTTCTTTGAGCGAAATAACGATACATTGAAATTCAGATGCCGATTGTTCACGAATAAAATCAGCGACTTTGCCAATATTTGTATTGTCAAGAGCAGCATCAACTTCATCAAGTAAGAAGAATGGTGCTGGTTTAAAACTAAATCAAAATTAACTCTGTATATCGAAGATCAAAGACAAATTTCGTCGTACCTTCTTAAAGCAAACAGTAAACAGATGGCTGCAACAGTTTTTTCACCACCAGATAAATTTTCCATGGCTTGAAAACGTTTTCCTGGTGCAACACAATTGTATGTTATACCACCTCGATAAGGCTCCTCAGCATCTTCCGCTGTTAGACAAGCGACGGCTGCTTGAGAATTCGTTAACGATTTGTAAATATCATCGATACATGTTGAAACATGTTCGTAGAGAGCGTTGAATCGATCATAACGTTCTTTTTTGATTTTTTCAAATGCTTGCCGCGCACGCTTGGCTGCATTACGTGCCCGTTCAAATTCGGCGTTTGTCAAATCGAACGTTGTTTTCACTTCGCGTGAACGTGCGTCAATAGCTGATGTTTGTGGTAAATGTTTTTGTAGTTGGATTTCAATATCCGACATCTGTTTGATCAATAATTTTTCTTCTTTATCAACTTGTTCGTAATTGATCTTTTTCAAATCATCGCGTAGACGCTTGTAGTTCAATTCAAATTTGTCTTCCGTATCAAAAATCTGTCGACTTTCAAATTGATTGGTTGAATTTCCATCACCGTTCAATATGTTCGAAGAATCCGTCGTGAATGTAGATAAAGAACTGCCTTGAGTTTGAATAGTCGTTGTATCATCGGATGACGAAGTTTCGGCGAGTGATATCGCAGCCATTGAACCGGCATTACCACGGAAAGGTAACGAGATTTCATTGAGCTAAAAGAAACGAGCACATGACATTAACGAAATGAGTTGAACAAGCATACCTTCGCTGTTCGAAAGAAATTGTGTCGATCGTGTCGTAGTTTTTCAATGTCACTTTCGATCAATTGGAGACGTTTTCGTTGTTCATTATAGTCTTTGTTCAGTTGAGCAGCACGTTTTGTACAGTCGGATATTTCCCGTTCTTGAAACTCGATCTTTTTCTTTTGATCAAGTAGTCGATCTTTGATTTCGCCAATTTCATGCTGTAAATCTTCAATAACCTAAAACGTTCAGTGATGAATCGAGAGAACATCGAAGGTGTTTTCACTTACTTTACGATACTTCTTTTCATTCTTTTGACATTTTTGCAGAGCATCTTCTAAGGTGACGACTTCCCGTCGAACTTGTTCAACATGAGCAGCCGTATCTCGTGATCGTTCAAATTCCAGCATCGTCTGGATCTTTGTGATTTGATTTTCGAATTCCAAACGTTCTTGAGCACGTTTCTCCGCCGCTTGCAATTCCCGATCTTCATAAACACTACAAACAATCGAAGAAACAATCGATCCATGCAGAGTGAATCGAAGACTATCTACCGAATATTAGACACGTGAATCTGTTTGCAGAAATCAGCGAAAACAGCATCTTCAATCTTGTTCTTTTGGACACGCAATTTTGATATACGTTTTTCGCGTTCGTTGATGGCTGCTTGTAAAGCTTTGATCTTTGGCTAAAAACAAATATTGCACATTGGTGACTTCTTGAGTCTATTCAAACTAACCTCATAGACTTCGAGTTTATCATTGAAATCAACGAGGTCTTTTTCGATGAGAATTCTCTGCTTCTTTTCTGCTGTTTCTCGATCTGTTCTCGAATAACGTAATCGACTTTCTAATTGTTGTAGCTGTGCTCTAAAAGAAATGTGAACATTGACTTTCCTTTGATCGTCTTCAGGTATATGGCAACTTACCGAGCGTTGATTAATTCAGCTTCACGTCGTTTTTTCTTCTGTTGTTCTTTGTATTCATCAAATAATTTATCTTTACGGTTGCGTAAAGCATCAAGATGTTTCTCGTCCCAACGTTTTGCCCGAGCTTTCAACTCACTACAACGAAAAACGTAAGTTATTGTTTGAGAAAGTCTACTTTATTGAATTCTCCTTACCTTGAACCACCGGAAATCACACCTGATTTACTAAACAGTGTTCCATTTAACGAAACAACTTTGTTCTTTTGACTTCCACTTTCATAAGCAAGTCGTCGAGCATCGTCATCATTATCACAAACAAGAGCATTGCCACACGCATATAAGATTGCCTTGTAATATTGTTTATCATATTTAATAACATCAAGAACTAGTTTCACATTTCTTGGTTCTTGTAATTCTCTAAAAGAAAAAAAACAGAAACAGGACCTATTTATTGCTATGCGGAAAGAAGAAAACAAACCGAAGTTGCTCATTCACTGGCGTTACTTTAATGTAATCCAGTGGAAGAAATGTTTCCGGCTCATATCGATGTTCCTTCATATAACGTAAACAAGATTGAACTGTTGTTTCACGTTCGACGACAATAGAATCCATATTACGACCAAGAACTTTAGTTATAGCCATTTGAAAACGTTTGTGAGTTGGTTCGCAGAGATCAATCAAACGACCGTACTAAATTGAAAGATAATCGTCAATATTTGCACATATGCGATTAGAAAGTGTGTCAATGACTTATTTTGCATAATGAGTACATACCACGCCTGGAAATTGTTTGAGATTTTCGATAAGTTCCGCACGTCGTTGTGCACGACTTGTTTCGTTTCGATCAGACTGTAGGAAAGTGAACATTGTTCGGTAGAAAGAACTTTTTGTTTGAACACAAAACTTACGCGCGCATCGCCGATTTCCTTATTGACTTGGTCGAGTTCTTCTTCGAGTTCCGCACAACGTTTTCGTCCTTCGGTAACTTCTTTTTCGAGTGCTTCTACATTTGCCTGTTTTTCGTTGAATTCTCGTTCGAGGTCACTAAAAGCCATAGATCAGAATTGTAGAAATTCATCCGTATACTTACGCAATATAACCACCCAATTTATCGATTTTGCCGTTCAATTCTTCGATGCGTAGTTCGGTTTGTTTGATTCGAGCTTTGTGATCTGTTTGACTTCGTTGTTCTTGTTCAAGATTTGTTGTATCGACTTGTTGTTGACGATCAATGGAATCGTATTCTTCACTGAATTGTGTCATTTTCTTCGCTGCTTCTTCTTTCAATCGTCGATATTCTTTCATCTAATCACATTTTCTCCTTCTTTCTTCAATCGCTAAATGAAACGAATCTTACTTGATTCTCTTCTAAAGCTAAGTTTCGACCACTGTGTTGAGATTCATCTTGAATTTTGTCTTCGTATTCTTTTCTCATCCGTTCGACTTCGTGTAGGTCTTTTTCATATTTAGCAACTTCTTCATCGTGTGCAGCATGTGCTTTTTCAGCTGCAGCGAGCGTTTTCCTAGAATGAAATTGTCGCTAGCTTTTGTTCGAGTTTTATTCTTTGTTTTTACTTGGCTAGATCAAGTTTTTTCTGATGATGAGTGGAATTCTCTTTTGCTTTGATGTAAGTCGGTCGATTTTTATTGATTTGTGTTTCCTGAAATAGGAAAAATGTATCGAATTGATTAAAAGCATTCCGGTCTTTTGAATAGTTCAATCTTTACCAAGTCTTTCACTTTTTGCTCATCATGTGCAAGTTCTTTATTGTAATGAGCCAGTTCTTTCTTCTTCGTTTTGATATCTTCATCCGACACTTCTTTTCGTTTCTCCAATTTTGCTACTTCGTCTTTTTTCTTTTCGGCAATGTCGCGCTTTTCGGCTAACTCTTGTTTATTATGGTATAATTGGAATAATTTCAATTGTAATTGAAGTTCGTCCTTAAAGAAACCAATCCAAAAGTTATTCAAAAACCAATCCGATGCTTTCTTACATATTGAGTTTTCAATGCTGCATATTTCTGAGCAACTTCTTTTTCCAATCGGACTTCCTTCTTTTGCTTTTCAACGCCTTTTTTCTTCTGGAAATTTGCATGAGTATCCTGTTCGGCTTTGTTTTTCTCTTGTTTAGCTTGTTCATATTCTTCGCGTAATTCTCCACTACGACTTAGTTCTTCGAACATAGCCGTGAACTCTTTTGGTGTTTTCATTGCAATCGATTCGACTTGACCTTGAAAAATAAGAAAGTTCTTTGCTTTCGGGATGATGCCCATATTTTCCAGTTCTTCAGTATATTCTGTTGCTGATAACTGACGGCCGTCGACACGATATTCGGATGCATTGCCGACAATTAAACGCTGAAAACGCTTTTCATGTTCCGTACGCTCACCATGACGGTCAGTTTTGATCGACACAAAAATTAGAGAAACCGACGCACGATTACTAACGGGTTTATTGATTGGTGCACCATGAATTAATTCCTTTTCGTAAGAAAAAATCATCCAGATGAACAGTTATGTGTATGTGAATAGAAACTTACAGATAATTTTCGCACACGTAAGCTTTTCGTCGGTTCACCCAAAACAAAACTGATGGCATCCATAAGATTTGATTTACCTGAAAGAAATACTTGGATATTCGATCTTCTTTACTTAGAGAGAACATACCCGATCCATTTGGTCCAATGATTGCTGTAAATTTTCGTAATGGTCCGATAACAATATGGCCTTTGTACGATTTGAAATTATCGATTTCGACGTATTTCAAAAAGTAACTCATGATTGTTAAAACAAAACGTGTGTTTTGACAAGCAGAATAACAATTAATACGAACAATGACTCGCCAGTCGAAAGAAACAAAGACCGTCGACAATCACTCTCATTGGTTACGCGAATTGGCCAATAATAATCACAAAGATTTCTTCTGAAGAATGTTTAGATTGAGAAAAATATTTTATCGAAATTTGCAAGAACTACATTGTTTTTATCTACAATAAAACTTCGTCTTTTCGCACAGAAAACCAGCGCGCACTACTGCCATCTACCGTATTCAGTTAGTGATATCATACTTCATTCAGTGATTTATTTCAAATAGTAACAAGAGAAAAATAAATAAATATTATATAAAAAAACTAAATAACATTGATCTTTTCTGTTTCAAAATTATTCTCTCGGCGATCATAAATTGTCGATGATAATCATTAAATAAATTCACAAGAGTTTCATTGAACAGAGTTTCCAGAAGTCGATTGAAAACCTTCCAATTACGACTTTGAAGAATAGTATCATGGATGAGATGTGCATCGCCAAATTCTTTGAACGAAGGACGATTCCAATAGCTAATATCGAAGGCTCGATCGAGTCGCCCACCACGACCACGCTCAATTATTTTGAAGTCTGAATGTTTCTGACGATAATCACCTAATAGCATTGAACATAGAATTTGATCCATAAACCAAGCTGCATCACCTTTGGCCATATTCATATCATAAACGCTCTGGAATTCACGTCGAGCGTAGAGACTTATGGTTTCAAAGGATAATGACATGTTTTCACTCAATAAATCTCGGATTTGTGTATTCGTCTGATTAGCAAGAAGTTCAGCACGCAGTGTGGACTCCAGCACCATCGCACGCCAACTTTTCTTCTTCATGTATATATGGCCCACTAGAAGAAAACGAACAAACTAATGACTGAACATAAGATACTCTCGAAAAAGAATTGCTATGTAACAAAACTTAAATATATTGAGACATTATTAAGTTGATTTAACGGAATATAATGACAAATGAAGTTTCAGCTGGTAAATATTATTTGTTTTCGTATCGAAAATCAATAGAAAGAAATTTATCGTCGTAATATTCTTTTTCCAATAAGCTATTATTCAATGAATATTATGCAGAATTAGAGAACGAATTCAATTAGAAGTTTGTTTTTATAAGCAATTTAGTGATAGGCAAATATGATCTAGAAGCAAGCTGATGAACGTTAAGCAAATATTGAATCACTTTTCATTCGAACAGAAGAAATTCATTATCACTTCTCGAGTGAGTAAAGAAAGACTTTTGTAGAGTATCTCACTTTCAAATGATTACTCTAGAGTATTCTACATGTGATATCTCATCAATGAGCGATGCACATATTTGAAAATGAAAATAGGCGAAATGTCCTTCTCTCGTGCAAGAAATAATCTTCTCTGTCGATGACGGAAAGAACAAGTTACGTTGGAACGCTCTAGAAAGTTCAAGGAGTGTGGATCTTGCTGACGAATCATGATGTGCACTAGATTTCTAGTTTAAGTTGCTACACCTTGTCAAAGAAAGGATCATTAATAGTATCTTATAATTAACAAAGGAAAGAATAAATGATATGACATACTTAGAAAAATGCAACCTTAGAATTAACTTTCAACTTGATCCAGGAGAATGCTACAGGAAGTCGAGTATATAATCAGATATGCTCATTATCGAAAGAGAAAAGAACTTGTTTCTGATGAAGAAAATTTTGCTCTTAGCAAGCTTCTCTTATAGTCGACTCACTTGGAAACATTCGGTATGTCTTTCCCCGTCGTTGAAATGTACCACAACAGAATGCATTGAAAATAAATCCATCCGTTCCATTAGTCGGACGGTAAGGATCTGGCTGTAATGGCATCAGATCGCTATCACTTGTTAGAATATCATCATTGTCGTTTACGATCGAGTCAGGTAAAAATCCCGAAAAAACTCGAACTAATTGTGATAATTTGATGGCATATGAAGCATTACATTGCACATCGATAATATATGCACCAACCTTCTTTAAATACGCACGTGATAAGTTTAATCGAGCTGTAAGAATATTCGGCATTGTAAAATCACCGACAAATATGACTATACTTTCGTATCCAATGCGAGTCCAACTCGAAGCAGTTATTGGTGTGTAGAATGAATACGCTTGCACTATCGCATGTATGGAACAGGCAAAGACTGCAAAACGACGCGGTCCACGTTTTCCAGGCAAATTAGTTGTAGCAGATTTTAATGTTACATTTGCGTTAAAAGGTTTTGTGTGAGATGCAGATGCTACTCGATTGGTTACATAGGAATGTAATGTATTCCAATTAAAATCTTTCGTAGAATAGAATACAAACGAAATACCAAGAAATGCGAAACATAGCACAAGAAAGACCCATTTCATTCGACTTGGTGTGTTCTAAACAAATGTGTGAGAAAGAAATATCCACAAAAGATTTGAAGTATACTGCTTGATTAGTTCTAGTTGACGTATTGGTGAGCATCGTCGTTTGAATCAATCGTTGTTCAATTCAATTCTCAATTGATTTCTTTTACACATCTATGAAAAGGAAGTAAATTGTTTAACGACGAACTACATATGCTTACATTGTCAATCATCTCCTCAAATGAGCATAGGTTAGTAATAGAACGAGAGTATGATGACGAGAGGCGAAAGAAGAAAAAGAAACACTAAGAAAAGAAAGAAGAAAAAATCTTTTTGGGTACATAAAGTGAAACCTAACATGTTGCAAAACGGTATTAAAATGCTACTATCACTTGTGAATACGTGTGTATATACAAACAAATAAAAATGAATGATCAAACACAGAGGGAAATGTTGTCGTCAGTAAAATAAAAGAAAGCTTTAGTTCCAATCAAAAACTAAACCGATCAATCGATTAATCAAACGTGGCGGAACAAGACGATTCTGACGTATAGTTCTACTCAGTTTATGGCGTGTAAATAAAATAAACCTTCCATAGTTTCCTTACGAGAAGGAGCACTGTTATGTGCAGAACGTGAAAGAAAAAGCAATCGGTGCGATGTTTCGTACTGATTGTTAGTTTTTTAAACACATGTGAGAGAAAAAAAGTCGAAATTCACTTTAGTTTTAAAATCGAACTGAAATGGTGAGTTGTTACATGAGTTGATTGGCAATTTCGTTTGTCTTTCGTCAACACCTCGCGAATAAAATAAAATTTTTGAGTAAATGACGTATAGTACAATATTTGAAACGGTCTAATTTCACCTCTTCTCGCTGTCTCTTGTTGTAAAACTTGTGCAGCAAACTGATGTCCATCAATCGGTTGTATGTATAGACCTAATGTCAAAAAGTGACTGTTGCCTGAGCTGTTTGAATTTAGAAAACTGTGTTGTATTTTGTAAATATTATTCGAAAATTCGTCTTTTACATAAAAATTCGTTCTCAATTTGAAAAAAAAAGCAACTTTTATTGCATAAATTTCCTTTGACGTATATTTGTATCATATCATATAAGCTATAGAGAGAACATGCGTCTCTGACGAAGCAGCCAAGCTGAACGGCAATTTTCAATAGGTACTGTTTCATTTGAAGGCGATGTAAAGGGTAAATATTAAATATTTAGATGGTTTTGTCAATGAATATTAATTACTGTCGCGTAAAAATCAATATGAAAGAAATGATTTAAGTCAATCACTCTGTTCTTTATTTCATAGGCTTCCAAATTGGTTTATTATTTAGCAAGTTTAACCATAGTACTGATTCTCTTCCTTGTACTTTACAAAACACCGAGAGCAACAATATGGCTGGAAATTACTTTTCCGCCACCGGCTCTTTCAACAGTGACTTCACTTCCGACGACAAGAGTACAAACACCTACGAAGAAAATCTCAAGTCCACATCGACGCTTTGCCATATTTTCATCTTCAATTCATTCACAACTTCGTTCCTATATTTTCTATACTCCTATTACAGCTGCTGCATGGCAACGCTTGGGTTACGGAGTAATTGTGGTATTCACTGGTGATTTTACTAATCGTAGCAATGCATCGTTATCACCTCAACTCGCTTTGTCACGTGCATTTCTCCAACGATTAGGAGCTTATACACTCGATTTTCAATGCGATTCGTCATATTCAATAAAAATGTCACAAATAGTACGCATCTTCGGTGGTTTTCTTTCAGATACAATCGTTAATGATACAGATTACATCCTTACAACCGATAGTGACATTATTCCAATAGAACCATCAGGTTACGAAATAGCTGATAATACCGATGGATTTATCTACAATGCTCTGTGCTGTGGGTCGTTTCAACGTCATAATAGAACATACGATATGTATCCGATGAGTCACATATGTCTTCGAAAACGAATGTGGCGAGATATGTTTATTGAATCAGACCAGCATAAAGCACTTTTGAACGGAAGTTGTCCGTCGTTAAATACAACTCTGCTTTCCACACAAGCACCATTTTCGTTCGAAACCGTCAGCGCTTATACTCGCTGCGAATTTGACAGTTTATACGATTCGAATATGAACAAAGGCGATGCAGCATGGTATATGGATCAAGTGTACTCTTCCATGTTAATCAATGATTATTGTCGAAATCATTCAACTGTGAACATAGATAAACGTCAGAAGAAATCCAAACGTCTCGATCCACATTTGCCATCGATGATGTGGGACATGCCGTTTTTCTCAACGTTTGGTGATGCTCATTTAATACATGATGAAATCTTTGATTCCTATCGATTCGTGCCATTTCGAAAGTTCTTGAAGTTTCTTTTCAATTCATCATTAGCGGGAGAGTTTGAGTTCTATTATAAAAAATTTTTGTCAACTTTGAATGATCTTCCTCAAGATCATTGAAAAGCAAATATACATCTCGTTCCTGTCTTGAATATTTTCCTTGAATTTTGATCGTATGCAGACGAGTGAATAGGATGCGTCCACTTGAGAAAAATGAGAATGATTCCGCTACCAAGTAGACAGATTGATTAGTTCCATTCACTGATTTTTCAATTGCTCAATGTCGACAAACGACACGAGCGAAATTCGATTAATCAATGAAGTTCTCTTCTTCTTTCCTAAATGAAATCGTCAATCGAACATCTATTCCTTACTCAATATATTTCCTTTCAAGAAAATTTACATCTATATCTCGAATAAGCATACAGCTGTTGGTGATCATGTATTCATACCAAAAACATTTCTTCGAAAGAAAAAAAATGTGATTTTCCAGCTAATTATTTCTGTATTCAATCACAGCATTTATTCCAAATAGATTTTTTTTTGTATACATATGGATCTCTAATAAGCAATTATCGACAAGTTGCCGTGACAATTGTTCCCAAGAGAGCTTATCCGTTGTCATTGCTTCGGCACTAATCTTGCTCTCGTCTATAA